TTTTTGGTTTTTCGAGACAGGGTTTCTCTGTGTAGCCCTGGCTGGCCTGGAACTCACTCTGTAGACCAGGCTGGCCTCGAACTCAGAAATCCACCTGCCTCTGCCTCCCAAGTGCTGGGATTAAAGGCGTACGCCACCACTGCCCGGCAAATTGCTGTTTTTTTAATATTAAGGAATTACAATAAACATTTTCTTTGAAGGGTCAGGGACTAAATATCTCATGCCATGTGGACTACACAATCTCTGCTGTAAGCACTCAGTTTTCTATGTAGTTCCAAAGCAGCAAAGGTACTGTGTGAATTTACACCACATTTACACCTTATGTTATATTCTCATATCACAGAATTCTTCTGTCAAATGTCTAGACAAATTGATGTTGCTGTATTACTTGAGAGCTGTACTTCTTCTACCAAGCAGCAAACAAATGTCTACCAAAGTAATACCTGCATATTCTTATTTTTATGCCCTCTTTAAACACAGAAGCAACTAATTAAACTACTTATTTGAAAATCTTCAAATGCTGATAATTTCACTTTTAAAGGTATGATTAGGAAGACAGGATCCTTGCAACATGACGGTACATAAAAGAAGGTATCAATCATGATAAGTATTAAGAAAAGTTTACAGCTTTTACTTCTCCTAAATCACATATCGTAGATTCATCACCTAAATAACTTATTAGATACATACGGAATGTTGGAAAGATGCAGTGTGGCTGATGGAGGGAAGATATTTTGGAAATTCTTTGAGCCAGGCTTTTTAAAGCGATGCAGGGGACTATTGCTGAAGTCCTTGGTCAGACCTTGGTCTTCCTGTCCCTCTCTAGGGAGCTGGACGGCTTGATGTTTGGACAGTGTAGCCCGAAGTACTTTTCCATAGAGCCTCTGACCACTTAAGTGGTTCATTGCTGTTGGATAGGAAGAAAATAAGAAAACTCTGAGTATTAAGATTAACATTCTCAAAAAATTATGTGACCATTTTAAAATTTTTTAGTCATTTAAAATTGTAATCAGTTTGAAGGTTTAAAATTCAAGAGCTCAGGGGCTGGAGAGATGGCTCGTGGATTAAGAGCACGTGCTGCTTTCCCCAGAAAATTCATGTTCAATGCTCAGCACATACATGCCAATTTCTAATTGTCTTTAATTCCAGTTCAAGGGATACAATTCCTTCTCTGGCTTCCATGAGCACCAGGCACACATATGGTACACAGACAAATATGCAGATAAAATGCTCATACACATAAAACTTTGTAAATCAAAAGCATTTCAAGAGCTGACAGGAAAATGTATTAAATAACTTCATCTTATAATAAAAGCAATTAAAAATTAATCTAAACGTTAAACAAAGTAGCTTCTGAGCCGAGTGCCAGGAAGCTACAGGCACAGAACATAAACCCTCAACGAATGGTTATATGACTATAGAGTTTGTCTTAAGCAAAGCATTTTTTTAAGACATCTGAGTAGCTATACTTTAATATCTGGGAAGAATACATTCTTGAACCATTATTAGGAAATTTGCCAAAACTTTTAAATTACTCAACAGTTTTAGAAAAATCTAACTTAGAAGAAAAATACTCATTTCTTTTCATACACAATTTTTCAGATTTTAAAAGAAAAATGAAGACCCAAACAAACAAGTGAAAAAAACTCATGTTATAAGTTTAAAGTAAATGGGAGAAAGTCCTAGAGTCCAATCTGTCAGCACTAACAATGTGCTATGTGTTTTACATAATGAACTTCAGAGCCTCAAATAAAGCAGGTGCAAATGATAATGAAAACACTACCACCATAAGGAAGTGCTGCTGCAAAATTACATCCGTACCAGTTCTACAATGCTCATTCGGGAGGAATATGCAAAATGGGCATCACCACTGTCAGTACCTAGCTGGGCTTGACTTGCATCCGCCATCTGCACCAAGGCGTTTTCTTTCTTGTTAAACATAATCTTCACTCGATGTACATCACCATACACTCCTAATAGCAAAACACAAAGCACTGAATTTAAGTGCCTGGCTGTAGAGTAATTTTATCCCTGTACCCACAGGTTTCTTTTTCTTGCTACATACCATCCTTTGGCAATTTTATATATAGTCTTAATAAGTTTCACAGCTATTATCTCTCAATCTGTTCCAGATGTCTCATAAACACATCTAATTCAGTATACTCCCCAATGGATTCAATCCCTGTTACATCTTTCTATTTTTAGTGTAAATGCACACTATGCACCCAATCGCTCCTGTCAGACATCAACTTTCCACATCTTTCTTAAGCTCTCTCAGCCACTCCCCAGCACCTTTGGAATGCATGGCCTCTGCGGCTCTCACAACCCCACTTATGTACTCAGACCTGTCTATCCCTATGGACTCAAGATCTACCCTACCTCCTTTTAGCTCATCTCACCACACCAATTATTTATTTATGTTTGTTTGTATTATTAGTGGTTCCCACAGTCAGTCATCTATCACAAAGGGGAAAATAATTAATTTCAGTGTGGAAAGAAAATAAAGACCAACATGAAAAATTACATTTTATGAACGTTTACTCCATAAAAATTAAAGACAGGAGGGCCTACCATTTAAGAAAGCCCTCTTTCGTCACCCCCGCCCCATGTACTATCAGAGTCTGCAGTTTCTACAGTAGAGATTATCACTGGTGTCGCAAAAGCAGAGAGGCATTATTATCACTACACTTGTTAACTCAGTAAGAGATTGGTTACAAATACCTTCAAGATACACACAGGAAAGGTTAGTTTATTAGCATCTAAAGACAACATTTAACCTACACAGATCAATTTTAAAATTTAAAACAAAAAAAAATATCAAGCATTCTGAATCATTGCCCTTCTAAGGAAATGACAAAAAGCTGAAGTAGATATTTTTTAAAAAACTAAATAGAGCTAGGTATGGTGGCTCACACCTTTAACGCTAGTATTCAGGAAGCAGAGGCAGGCAGATTTCTCAGTTTGAAGCCAGACTGGTCTACAGCGTGAATTCCACAACAGCCAAGGCCACACAGAAACCCTGTCTCAAAAAACCAAAACGGGTGGAAGGAAAGAACTGACTCTAGTGCTGTTTTTTAACATTCATATGTATATGTATATGTATGCAGTGGCACATGTGTACTCATACATGCATCACATATACACAAAATAATAAAAATTTTAATTAGTATCTGAATTCAATAGGCAAATAGGTATAATACCCACTCTTAACCATTGCATCATATCTTCTCATGCAGCAAAGTAGAGTGTGGCACGCCATAACCCTAGCTACTTTGCAGGCCAAGGTAGAAAGATATTCTGGGCTAAACAAAGAGACTCCATTTCCATGGTAGATGCCTTGCCTAACAAGCAAAAGGTCCCTAGGTTCAATCTCCAGGTCTGAAAAAACAACCAACTATTACCACTTAAAGAATTTGGAGCTGGGCGGTGGTGGCGCACGCCATTAATCCCAGCACTTGGGAGGCAGAGGCAGGCGGATTTCTGAGTTCGAGGCCAGCCTGGTCTACAGAGTGAGTTCCAGGACAGCCAGGGCTACACAGAGAAACCCTGTCTCGAAAAAAAACAAAACAAAACAAAACAAAACAAAAGAGAATTTGGAAATAAGTCCCTGCCCTATGTTAAACATTCAAATACAACAGTTTTCAAAATCTGCTAACAGGACAACACAGAAGTTTTCTAGGTAAAGCATATCAAAAAGGACTGGATTCAACTGAAAGTATTGGTGCAATAATTAATGAAGTACAGCAAAAATGAAACATTTCCATTTGAACTTTCTATTTCTAATGGAGAGGATTTGTATTACATTCTTTAAATTCAAGTACTGCTCATCTTAAGAGATAGATGTATGAAGCTGGGATACATGCCTAGTTATTATGCTTTTAACTGAGAAGGGAAGACTGTTACAAAGTTTCCAAACTTTTCTTTCTCTCTGTTTTTAAGGATAGGTTCTCCCTAGCCTGAGAAAAACTGAGGGTGAAATTTGGTAGCATGGTCCTGGGTTTGATTCCCAGCACTCTATTTCCCTGGTTATAATCTTTGTTCTAGCTCCAGTGTCAAACATATTACAAAGCATATAAAAGTAATGAACAAGTATTTTTTTCTTATTAATTGGTTACTTTATTTATTTACATTTCAAATGTCCTCTTTCCCAGTCTCTACTCTGCAAACAAGTATTCCTAAATGAATAAAATATGCTCATTTCACAACCACAGATAATATTAAAAACAATTTTAAAAACTTACCAAATAGGATAAAAAGCCCATGTGGTGTGATAAACTGAAAAGGATAACACAAAATATAACTAAATATAGCACAATTTAAAAACAACTATTTATAATGTAATAAAAACAGTTTATTCTGTTACAGTACAATTTATGCTTCTATATATCCTGTTGATAATTTTTATTTAAACTCCTTAAAACAAACTTAAGCATTATAACACAAAGCTAGACTATATGTAAGAACCCACCATCCCCCTTCCTGAAAGCTTAGACCATTTTCCCACTCACGTCAGGATTGAGGTTGGTGACCAGAAGAACAGAATTCCCTGGTATACCACTTGCCCCAGGAATGGCCATCCTTCCACTGACAGCAGAGGAGGTGAGTGTGAGAGGACCAAGGGCTCCAGGAACAGCTGGGACAGACAGACCTTTTGAAAACACCAACAGTATTTCTTATATTCTAATCATCTGAAGAATACCATTTGACAGGATAGAACTTAAGCCAAGGAAGTAAACATAAAGTGTCCAGATTATCATACAGGTTATCCAAAGCCACTCTCCCACAGTCTACTGGAAGATGAGTGCTTTCTTTGTTGACATTATCCATTATTAATGCCATTCATACTGTGTTCTGTAGAGTAACTGGACTCATTGGTCTTAACAACCAGTTAGAAGCTGGGCAGTGGTGGATCTCTGTGAGTTCTAGGCCAGCTGGTCTACACAGTGAGAAGCAGGACAGCCAAGGCTACACAGTGAAACCTTGTCTCAACCTTCCACCCTTCACTGCATCCACAAAACCCCAAGCTTCTCAGAGGACCTATTACCTAAACCACTTTTCTATCCAGCACCTTTATGTCAAGCGAATGTAATTTTCATATTCAAAAACATCAAGGTGGTATACACATGCATAGCCCTTCAACAGAAGCATCAAAGATGTATGCTGGGAAGCACTATATAACAGCCTATGTGAAAAAAATATGTTTAACCTTGTAAAGTAATAAATTTACTGTATTTTGTAACAGAATTTGACTTTTAATGCCCTAGGTATTCTTGAACTACTGAAAAGGCTGATATAGTGACACTGTACGTAAAACAACATTGTCTCATTAATCCCACTATTGATACCTTTGCTTTAAAGGTGTTTAAGGATATAGAAACCTCTGATTCTATAAAAGGAGCCAATTCTTTCTTTATCTTACAATACTGGGAATGAAACCAGGTCCCTGAGTACTAGGCAAACACTATCACTACGCTATATCCCCAGCTTCAATTTGTTCCTTCAGGCTAGCTTTCTTTTTCATACTCTGACTACTCTATTTTACTTGAGTGTAACTAACTTGCAGTAGACTTGAAATTTATCCTGTTTTGCTTGACAATCTAAAAGGTTTAAGACTATGCAGATGACACTCTCCACTTGAATGCCTTTTGCTGGAGATACAACTTTATATCCCTAGCCTGCCTAGCACTCAAGAGATTCTGCTGTCTCAACCTCCTGAGTGTTTCAACAGAAGGCATGCATCACCACAACTAGCTTAATTCTTTTCTCCTTCATATGATCTCCTTCTCATGCCCTTCTAATTCAAACTGCCAATTTTACTAATGCCTGTAGTGGGTTGTGCATCAGCTAAAAGTAGAGCTACAGCGTGTGCTCACTTAGCCTTACAAGTCTTATCAAATTAAACATTCATTGATTTTTCTCATCCCCCTTAATGTCTATTGTGTTTTAAGCTACAGTGTGTCTAAACAAAATATCTGAAACAAAGGAAAACAAATCTTTCACTTCCATATGTACAGAAGTTAAACTCTAAGAGATTCAGAAAGCAAACTCCATGGGGTTTTTATGTTTTGTTTTTTTAAATAACTAGAATGGTCACATAAAGATGTGTTACAATGTATTAAACTACCAAACAACTAGGACTTAAACTTTATTCTCAAAATTAGTCTTCTTTTCAGTTAATTCTATTTTGCCCAATAGAGAGACAGTAACTAAAATTTCCAGAATTAAAACATTAAAACATAAAATAATTACTAGAAAGAAGCTACTCTGAAATTTAAATTACAGCTATTATGTTTACAAATAGTTGAACATCAGAACTGTTAATATATAAGATCACATTCACAGTATACCAGTTCTTAACTACAAACCTGTTTTCTTTACAGAGATAAAACCATAAAGTATATGATATAAAAATCATAAAGCTGGGTGGTGGGGGGCACCCCAGCACTCGAGGGAGGCAGAAGTAGACAGCTGTCTGTGAGTTCATGACCAGCCAGCTCTACATAGTGATTTCCAGGAAAGCCAGGGTTAGTTCCTATTTCTTAATTATTCCAGGAATAATAATTATTATTCCATAAATATTCCCAAGGAAAAAATTGCATCCCCCTGAAATAAACGACATACATACCCTTCATTGGTACTATTAAGAACTCACAAATGGTAAAAACATTCTCCAAAGAGGTTCAATGTTTATGTTTTTACTGGCTATGTTTCTTTTAAATGTGTTGAAGACACAAAGATAAGTAAAATTACTCAGGTTTGTTCAATACATAATAAGCTTATCAACAAAGAAAGAACCAAGAAGATCATACACCTTATCTAACAACCTGACACAGGTTTAATAGTTTACTAGTTTAATGTAGTTAACCTATAGTTAATTAAGTGATTCAAAACACACAGTGGAATTACTCGAGCACACAGTGGAACATGAGAGAGTTATTTGTAAACATAAAGATGTGCATACAAGTCACTCCACGGCTGTTATACCTAATGCTTTTATTTTTTACATTGTCCAAATTTGTGAGCTCCTAGAAAACAAAGAATCTCATTTAAAGATTCATTTCAAATTCAACCTGAAAAGACTCACCTGCTCCTTGAGGAAATGCAATGGCTGGGGCAAATCCAGCAGCCCCTGCATATGGAGAGGACATTATACCCGGTGCACCTGTGAAGAAAAAGCTACAATAAATATATTGCCTGCTATGTATAAGTTATCAACACACTATGAAATGCCTGTGTGAAATATAAGTGGAACTGAAGATGGGATCATATAGTTGTTCAGTCAGTAATCCCAAAAGTACAGAAAGCTCCTGGTACCTCCAGAGGCTGAGACCTTTCAACTGGGTTCAAGGATGAAGCTTAGCTGTTAATGTCTGGACTAGGGTGATTCTGGTGTTTACCTAGAGCACTTTTTTTTTCCTAAATGAAAAGCCATCAAGTGCTTGTTAAACTGTACTGTGTTGAAGGAGTACTGGTCTGATGTAAAGAAATAATAAAGCTGGACAATGTGACACATGCTTTTAATTCCATTACTGAAACAGGAAGATCATAAATTTAAGGCCAGCCCGAGCTACACAGTGTAATTCTGTTTAAACAAACAAATGTGAGATAAAATATTTGTCACTGAGAATGAATTACAGAATTTCACATGCTGAAGGTCCTCCAGTCATATAATCCAGCAAATGGACTATGGAGAAGTCCTAGAGGCTTCACCATAGAGATTAGAGATCTCTAGAAATTAGGGGAAAGTTTGAGCCACACAGTATGTAGCTGCAAAGCACAGTGCGTGCTCTGTGTATTCTAGACAAGCAATGCCAGCATTTCCTCTAAGATGCCTTGTGACAGTGTCAATAAAAAAGGAGACAGTTCCAATGGAGGAATCAGGTGCAAGGTAAGATACACAACTGGAAACAACAAGGCAAACTTAGAATTATTATAAGCAACATACAGACTTAGTAATTATGCTGAATTAGCCACTGAATGAAAACTGTAGTAAAAGGGCACAAAACAGTAAGATGATCAGTGTTAAAGGGAAAGGGAGAAAAAATATCCTATTAGGGGAAAAGAAAGCCAAAGACTTAGATATAGAAAAAAGTAATCTCTGGGATCCTGTGGAATACTTCCAAATTAAGTGGAGACCTTTCAACAGGAATTACACAAGAAACAAAGAGAAAAGCATACTTTCCAGGGAATAGTAAAAAAATCCAACAAGCAAAGGTTGAGCTTTATCCATCTGTTTCTCCAGGTAGAGTATTCTGTTGAAAGCAGCCTACATATTTTCATCTTATTAAGAGATTACACACGGGGGCTGGAGAGATGGCTCAGTGGCTGTTCTTCCAGAGGTCCTGAGTTCAATTCCCAGCAACCACATGGTGGTTCACAACCATCTGTAATGGGATCTGATGTCTTCTTCTGGTGTGTCTTTAGACAGCTACAGTGTACTCATATATACAAAATAAATAATTAGTTTAAAAAAATGTTAACTTTTTAAAGTGGCAATAATGGTAGGTAGAAGAGCAACACTTGAGCCCCAGAACTCACATTAAGCTAGGCCTGACAGTGCATGCTTAGAAACTCAACACTCCACAGTCAGTCAGCCTAGCCTAAGTGACAAGCTCCACACCAATGAGAGATTGTCTTGAAGAGAGGTAGATAGAGTCTACGGAAGGATGCTTAACTTTTTCTATAGCCTCCACAGGCAAGTAAATATATATATTTGTGCATGCATATGATCATACAGAAAGACAGACACAGATACAGGCACACACACAAAAACACAAACATACTAAGTGCCACTGAAAGTTTTTATTGTTGAGTTAGAGATGGCTCAGTGGATAAGCCTGATAATTTTCAAGTTTTTAGAAAAAATAGCTATATATTATTTTTGTAACTGGCAAAAATTCAAAATTTCTATGGGTTAGATGCTGTGGTATAGGTATTAATTTTCTAATTTTAAAAACTGAATTTCATTTAAGAATACTGATTGCTAAGCCCATTGACTCAAACCTAGCTTAGGCAGGCTCAAGGCCACCCTGGACTACCCTATCTGAAAAACACAAAACACACACACAAAGAACATCTTTGTTTTTAGTAAATATTAATTGAGCATTTAGGGGTAAAGTCTAACACATTTGCAACTTACTCTGCAATGGTTTCAAGAGGGAGATAAAACTATAAATATATACAAACACAACTGGAAACAATAAAAGCAAGCACAGCATGACACAAATGAGAAATCTGAACGGAGTTATCTATGCTATTCGTACAGCTTACATTACTTTAAAACAAAGCCACTTAAAATACTATGAACTGTAGAATGTAAGTAATGCTCTTTTGTTTTTTAAAAAAAATTGTTTTTTTTTTTGAGATAGGGTCTCTTTATATACCTAAGGTTACCCTTGAACTCACAATTCTTGTCTCAGCCTCCTGAGTAATGGGTACATCCACTACTGTATCCATTATAAGTATCCGTATCCATTTTAAGTATTTATATAACTTTAAGACTCCTCACACACAACAATAATTACTACATATAAAGGAAATAACAAATCTGACTATCAATAAGCCCAAATTGGGAGAAACTATTTATAATAGAAACAGCCAAAAAGGACTAACATATGGAATACACAAGAAAAGTCATACCAATAGAAAGAAAATGGCTAAGCAGTAGTAGTACACACCTTTAATCATAGTACTTAGGAGGCAGAGGCAGGCAGATTTCTACAAGTTCAAGGCCAGCCTCAAGATCTATGGAGCTAGTTCCAGGACAGTTAAGGCCTCACGAAGAAACAGTATTTCAAAACACACACACACACACACACACACACACACACACACACGAGAAAAGGAAATGGTAAATGAAGATATGCTCAACATTAATAATCATGATTAAAAACTACTATGTTAAGGTATCATTGTGTCATTATAGGAGCTGTTTCAAGAGTTTGCATGGCTGTGAACAGACACCATGACCAAGGCAACTCTTATAAGGACATTTAGTTGGGGCTGGCTTACAGGTTAAGAGGTTCAGTCCATTATCATCAAGGTGGAAACATGGCATCGCCCAGGCAGGCATGGTGCTGGAGAAGCTAAGAGTTCTAGATCTTTATCCAAAGGAAGCCAGGAGCAGCTGACTGGGCACCCTTAGGTAGCTAGGAGGGTCTCCAAGTCTACCTCCAGTGACACACTTCCTCCAACAAGGCCATACCTCCTAATAGTGTCAAGCATATTCAAACCACTACAGGGGCTAAGGAAATTGTTCAGTCCACAAAGTACTTACTATGCAAACATGAAGGCCTGAGTAGGGGAGAGAGATAGAGACAAGAGAATCCCGAGTTTTCTAGCCAGCCAGTGTAGCAACTAAGTGAGGTCCAGGTTCAGTGGGAAACCATGCCTCAGAAAACAAAGTGGAGAATGACAGAGGATGACAAGTGTGTGCACATATAATGTTTAACGTGATATAAGAAGGAAAGCACGTTCCAAAACCAAGACAAGTACAGAGGGAATCTGTCGAATATATGAAACAGACTTTCATAAGACATAAAACAACTTTCTCTGATAAACTACATCCAGAATGTAGACATTATTTCGTGTTAATAGCATGTTTACAACAACCTTCCCCACACACCCCCACACACATACAATTAAGGGCATGTACCACCACACCCAGACTAAAAAACAATTCATAACTGTATTTTTCAAAGACACTCCTCCTTTTCTAACAGAGCATAATAGTTACATTAGTATATATTCAATTAGTGCAATAAAAGTTGTTCTGCATTTGATAGGTGAGTTCTGGCAAGCTTGAATTTGCCTTGATTGCTGTAATTCATTATTGATATGGTAATGACAAAGACAAAAACTTTTACTTTAAAATAGAATTACAAACTCTTTTCTACTTTGTAAAACAGAATTACAAACTAAACCAATTAGTTGTCTTAATGCCTTCATTTTCTCACTTAGAAATTGGAGCCAGGTATGATAGCACACTCCTTTAATCCCAGCACTCTGGAGACAGGCAGGTGGGTCTCTGAGTGAGTTCCAAGATAGACAGGGCTACATAGAGAGACCCTGTTTCAAAAAACAAACAAAAGATGGATGGATACTACCACAGGCACCAACAATATTCTAAGGTGTTACTTAGCAGAGGAAAATAAATCATAAAGCTATTAAAATTTAACTTTCCTGAATAATAAACCTTACTTTTTAGAGGTATAAGACTAATAAATAGCACACATTAATCTAATGACACATGCAAAGTAGCCAATCTTTTTTTTTGGCCTTTACATAAAGATTTGTTTATATACATACATACATACATACACACACACATACACACACACACACACACACACACACACACACACACACACACACATATAACTTTGTTGTTGTTTGAGACACAGAATCTAATATAGCCCTGGATATCTTAGAACTCACTATGTAGACCAGGCTGGCCTCCAACTCAGACATCTTAAAGGTTTACTTTATTTTAAATAAAAGAGGCAAGCTCTTCAAACCTAGTTTTGCAGAGATAACTTGAAAGGCAAATATTTTGAAGGGGTTTATTTAATGCAAAACATTAATATTCATACAGCCTAAGACAAAGATGAAAGCTCTATTGCTGAAGTGTAGTAAAACAGAATAAAATCAGTTTTCTTTGACTAGAGAAAGACACTGCTAATTTAGGACATTGTTATCATTATTTTATTTTGTTTTTTTGTTTTTTTTTGGTTTTTCAAGTTATCATTATTTTAAAAGAAAAAATAATTTTTCAAGAGCACTTCATGTCAGCTGGGCAGTGGTGGTGCACGCCTTCAATCCCAGCACTTGGGAGGCAGAGGCAGGTGGATTTCTGAGTTTGAGGCCAGCCTGGTCTACAGAATGAGTTCCAGGACAGTCAGGGCTATGCAGAGAAACCTTGTCTCGAAAAACCTAAAAAGAGCACTTAATGTCAAAACTCTGTTTAGAAATCTGCACATTTAAAATTTTTAAATGGCAATTTAAAAATTACCATGAAAATAATTATTTTAAAGTAAATAGGTAGCTTTTTGGTAATATCAATGTGTTAATGTTAGAAAAATATGTTGGAACATAATTTCAGGCTTCTATGTGTTTTGTGAACTAACAGAACTATCTTATATTAAGGCTTAATTTATGGGCATATTTGTTCCACGATTTCCTTTAGAAATCCAGAGCGAACCTAAGAAGGCTAATACAAATAAGTGAAACTTGTACCTTCAGGGGTTGCTTTGTGACTTAAGAAGAACTACTCACCAAAAGCAGCAGCCATAGGAGGTTCAAGAGATGGCTGCCCATCACCAGTAGGAAGGTCTAAGCGAGTGAAGTCTCTGCTTTTGTCATTATTGTATTTCACATTAAGGCTGGTGAGCTTGGAGAAGTCAATACGGAGAGTGCAGCACGCATTATAGATATTCTGGCCATCCAGAGCCTAAAGCAGATGAGAAAGAAACTGGTGTTTTGTCAAGACCACACTGAAAAACTGAAGAGCCTCTTAGTTGAGACAGTGGCAATTTAGCATTATGCAGAGTGCAAAAGCTAAGAGCCCAAAGAACTAGGTTTATTTTTATTGTCTGAAGTGGTCAGATCAAATGAAGAAAAATACGCAAAGGTTTGGAAAACGATTGTAGAACAGCATAAAAACACTATTATTATTTTGCCCACAGTATATGTTTAAAGATATTAATTTCATACTTTGATTTTATTTTAGTATAATTTATGTTGGTGAATATAATATATTGATAAAATATCACTGTAAATAGTATGGTACGTTAGTCATAATACATAAAATATTAACTGTCATATTTTATTTCTTTTGTACTTGCTTTTATGAATAAGGAACAAAGGAAGTCACTTGTAACCAAAGATTAGCAATCCTTCCCTTCCTAAGAATAAAATGTACAGGTGGGCTACCACCTAGCTACTACCTACTTTCACAGATAATCAAATGTATAAGAAAAGACACAGAAATAAAAGAATATGACAACTATATGATACATAAACATAATATTAAAAAAAAAAAACCCATGAAGCTAGAGGGACAGGAAATGCAAGGCTGTATTCCTCAAACCGTATGAAAAACAACAGTATGTTCAACTTTAGTCTCTATCTCTAAACCAATATGAAGCATAATTAGCGTTGATGACAGTTTTCTTGGAGAACTCATGCATCTAATGCGACCAAATGTGTCACTTTGTCTCATTAAAACAAAATCAAAGATTCATGTACTTAAAAAAACATAAGTTGACAGCAGCATATTTCTTAAGGTTTTCTATCTTTATCAACTCAGAGCTAAGTATCAATGAAAGCTGAATGTGGTTACAAAAGTAGTGAAATCAATGCCTGGCTGATTAAAAACAAGTAAATGAAACCACAAAGTCAGACATCTACATCAGTTGACTGCACCAGGAACACTGTATGTGAGCACAGATTAAAGCACAACAGACAGATAGCCATTTGTTTCAGTGATCTGAGAACTGGCAGACTGCAGATGCTTCCGATGGAAAAGCAGTAAGCTTCAGTTTAGAAGAAAGAATGCATGAAATGACCGTTTTCTTTCAACAGTCAAAGATCACACTTAATTAGGCACAAGATAAACTGGGCAAGTGAGATGGGATGGCTCCTTCAGACGTCTCCAAAGAGAGTGACTAAGAATGAAAGATGCAAAGCATAATCACCATTTTGGCATACTGCGCAATCACTGGGTCGGCATACTGAAGCAAGGCTTGAAACTGATTATTCTTTGTAAAGGTGATAATCTTCAACACCGTGCCAAATTTAGAAAATATCTGTAAAGAAAGAGTTCATATTTAATCTAAGGGAAAATGTTAAACTAATGTATCTGTATAAATACAGCTTGATTTATAAATTCTATTTTGTTTTTCTGGGTTTTCGTTTTGATTTTTTTGCTGAAGGGTCCCATGTAAGCTAGGCTGATTCCTGCCTCTACCTTTCTAGTGCTGGATTACAGGCATCTATTACATTACATGTTGACTTTTAATTTGACTTTTAAGGTTTTTTGTTTGTTGCTCATTAATGTAAAAAATGTAAACAATTTTCTCTATTAAGATTTCTGGTACAAAATGTCTTACTTAAACCAAGCCTAAAATGTTATTTCAATACCTATACATGTTACTGGCACATCACAGGTACTCAAACATTTAACCAATTTTATAGTATACAAAAATGGTACAATTCTAAAACAGAGGGTAACAGTAATTAACTAATAGTTTGATATAATGATGTTCACAATGTATGAATTGAAACAAGAAGTCAAATGAGTCAATGATTTATTTCATCCTTCTAAGTCATCAGCTACTTCTGAAGGCTTCTATGAGCAGATACAAGATGTTCAAACAAAGGCTTGTTCAACTAATTCAATAATTACAAGACACTTTTCTAAGTACTGGCGAAAAATGGCAATAAAATTTTCTGCTTTATTAGGACAATAAACAGGCAAAGGACACCATAATTTTTATTTATTAATTAAGATATATTTATTATTATTTATTTATTAAGACAATAAATATGCAAAAGATACCATAACAAAAATATTATAGAAAAATAGGAGAGAGAGCTGAGGTTAAATGGAGTTCTAGTGAGAGAGTAGGAAGGTGGCTAAGGTGAGTCTTGCTGAAATGTCCTCTGTTAAGAGAAATAAAAAAGTTAGGCCTGTGGTACATGCCTTTAATCCCAGCTCTTGAAAGCCAGAGAAAGGTAGATCTCTATGAGTTCAAGATTGAGGTCAGTCTCAAAAAATAAATAAACAAAATAAAAAGGAGGAATAAACAAGATTTCCCTATGGAAATATTCCTAAGAAATCTGTAGTTACCAACGCTCATTTACTTTTGTTTATTTTTTTTCTAGGGTGAGGGTCAAACTCATTCCAGAGATTCAGCTGCCTCTGTCACCCAAGAGCTAGGAATTAATGTTTTGCTTGATGCTATATACCACTGTGCACCTGGTTTCCACAGAGACCAGAAGACCATGTGAGATCTCCCAGAACTGGAGTAACACAGTTGGTTGCTTGCTCACACTTGTGAATGCTGGGAATCAAATCTAGGCTCTATGGAAGTACTCATGATAGCCAAGCCATTTCTCCAGGCCCTCTAGGTGTTTTTGGAGGATGTTTCAGGCTGAGGAGGAAATAAGACTCACCCCAAATGTGGGCAGCACTATCTCCTCTTGGACTGAATAAAAAGAAACAGAGGACCCAGCTTAACATCTAGTTTATTCCCTGCCTCCTGACTGAGGACACAATATGACCCGTTGAGTCGGTCTCTGCAGTCACTTTAATCATTCTGACTGCCTTGCCTTCTCTGTCTTGATGCCCTTGAACCCTCAAACTATGAGTCAAAATAAACCCTTCCTTCCTTAAACTGCTTTTGTATTCTGTCACAGAAATGAGAAAAGTAATTAACACACCAAGATTATAAAACAGCATTAGAGCAAGATTCAAACCAGCTCCAGATCCTCTAACTTTAACCACACTATCTCTTGGATGGTGTGGTAGTTTAAATCAGAATGGCTGCAATAAACTCATACTATTTTAAACGTGTGACCTTGTTGGAAAAAGTGTCACTGGGGTGGGTTTAGAGGTTTCAAAAGGCCATGCCACGCCCAGAGTTTCTTTGCCTAAAGTTCAGGATGTAGCTTTCAGCTACTGCTTCAACATCTACCTGCTTGCATGTCACCATCCCCTGCCCCCAATGCCATGATAATACTGGTGTCTCTTCACACCAACATAACAATGACTAAGACAGAGGGGTGAATGAGGTACAGTGTTGAGGGAGAGGACTTAAAAGTGAAAGGGACATCAGCCTGACTTTGTAGTTTAAGGAATATCCCAAACCCAAGAAACAAAAAAGGGAAGTAAAGACAGGGCTAACCTGGAGGCCAGAGAACAGAGAACAGAGAGATAGACAGGGCACCAGAAAGGACAAAGTGTTACAGGGAAGAATGCTCGGTACTAAGGATGGGGAATGGGGGAAACATTTGTCAGTGGGGCCTAAGGGGTAAGGATTTTTCTTTTGTCAGATGCACTGGGAAGAACTAAACAATGACTTCTGTAACTAAAGACTAGGAGTATCAATCCAACTGAGAATTGAAAATAGTCCTGCTCACCCAGGTCTCTAGGAACTTCTATATGAGAAAGAATGTCTGTTAGTTTCTGGGAAAAGATAACTAGACTGACCTCATGACTAACACGAACCTGCTGGATGGTGGCAGTGTTGAGTCACAGGTTTAAAAATATCTTTTATAAGAATATAAATTACCACAGAATTACAGAAGCAAATGTAAACACTCCACTGATGGGTCACATAAGTTATTATCTTTGTGAAATAAACAAAATAAAAACCAGTTACAATTCAAGCCTCCAGTGCTAAATGCTACTTTGTGCAATAAACAGAAAACAAATTTAACAGAACAATGCAACCAATCATTGAACCACTTTTAGGGAAGGACAGGGGTGTCTACGAACACCGCTGTTAAAGCATCTAAGAAATGCTTTACAGGTGTATTTATTTTGAAACTGGTACTCAGATAATTATTGAATGGAATAAAGTAGTCCTACCAACTAGTATATTTAGAATTTATAAGCATAGCAAAGAACATTGGAAGTAAGTCTAAGTCCCATCATAACTGATATGATGAGTGGCAAGTAAAGGATGTCTAAGAGCTCTAGATTATTTATACTTTTTGAGCTCAGATACATCTCTTTTGTATACACACACACACACAAACACACACACACACACACACACACACCCTACAACTCTTCATTTAGTCATACAGATCCAAAGGCATGTGTAGCGCTTTGAATGAGCATGCCCTCAATAGGCTCAAATGTTTGAATACTTGGGCACGAGAAATTAGTATCAGAGAGCAGAGTATTGCAGTGACAGACCTGACCATGCTGGCTTTTTTTGAGAAACATGGAAGACTTTGGAATTTTGAAGTGATTGAACACTGCAGGCAAGAGCTTAACAGGCCATCCCGGTAGAAGCCCGAAAGCCAATAGTGCTGAAAGCTGAGGACTGTGGAGGACTGGCTTAAGATGTTTCTGAGGGTGAATAATATTAGCAGCTGGGCTAGAGACCATTTTTTGTGATTTTTTTTGCCAAAGGCTGTAGCTTTCTGCTCCTGTCCTAAGAATTTGCCTGCAACTTAATTTAAAAGTAACAGACTAATTTTGTTAGTGGAGTAAATTTCAAGACAGTCTAGAATTGACTCTGCCATGTGGTTATTAGTAATCACATGCATTCATCTACAATGAATAAGAGTAAGTAAGAGAAAAAAAAGTACAAAATGCACAGTTTAAAGAGAAGATGGCTGGGCAGTGGTGGCACACGCCTTTAATCCTAGCACTTGGGAGGCAGAGGCAGGCGGATTTCTGAGTTCGAGAGTTCAAGGCTAGCCTGGTCTACAGAGTGAGCTCCAGGACAGCCAGGGCTACACAGAGAAACCCTGTCTCGAAAAACCAAAAAAAAAAAAAAAGATGATGACAAGAAAAGCCCCAGGTAAGGAGCCAAGGCTTGTGCTGAAAGAGGTAAGATTAAGAAGAGGCCAGCCCTGAAATGGACTAGAGAGAGCAAAGCTTCCACATGCCAGGCTACCAACTTATATAAAGAAAAGGCATTAGGAATGTTCTGCTTTGGGAGAAAACAACAAAGAAAAGCTGTTTCAAATGAGGTTCCAGGAGACTGGGATCTATCCTAAAGCAAGCAGCCAAACATGGTGGTGTCATCCATGTGGTTCTGACTTTAGAGTCATGAAGGACACAACAGTAAAGAGGTTGTGAAATCTTCTTCCAGAGTATGCCACTTATGCCAGGCATGTCCTTACACAAAGGCCCTGAGAGGACAAACAGCTTGGACTGCATTGGAGATGCCAAGATATTAAACACGCCAGAGCTATGAGGTATCTACCAAGGAAAACTGCAAACTGCAAGGGGAATGAAAGCAACCAAAGGAAAAGATCTTGCAGATAGCAAAGTTGGAGGAATGGAGTCACCTAAGCCCCTTTGACACTGGACGGAATGAGGTATCTACCAAGGAAAACTGCCAAGGGGAATGAAAGCAACCAAAGGAAGAGATGTATCTTGCAGACAGCAAAGTTGGAGGGATGGAGTTACCTAAGCCCTTTTGATACCGGACTTGGAGCTACAGGGTTTAGAATTTGCCCTGCTGAGTTTCAGTTTTACTTTGGTCCAGTATTTCCTTACTATGCCTCCATTCCTTCCTTTTCAAATGGTAATGTATATTCTGTGCCACTATATAATTAGCTATTTGATTTTACAGGGGATTACAATTAGAGATGTCCTTGAGTTTTAAAAGGGACTTTGAACTTTGGACTTTTACACATTGTGGTTCAAAAGCAGCAAGGACCTACCCAAAGCAGGCAGCTACCACACAATGCCTAGCCCCAGTGGTTCTTCTTAACTGTAGAAGATTTCACAACTCCTTTACTCATGTGTCCTTCATGATGCTAAAGCCAGGACCATATAGATGACAGTGCCATGGTTAGTTGATTGCTTGGGATAAGGCCTAGCCCCCTTAAAGCATATGAGACTGAAAGGCTATCGAGACTTTTCAAAGTGGATGACTTTACATTCTGGTACAGCCACAAATCTACAGTGGCCATGGAGATGCCATGGAGGGTTGAATGAGAATGGCTCCCAAAGGCTCATGTTTGAATACTTGATCCTAAGTTGGTGGAACTCTTTGAGAAGGACTAGGAAATACGGCCTTACCGGAGGAAGTGTGTCCAGTTTTACCCACTAGAAAATTATGTAATTAGGTGGCCTTCCAATTTGTACATTTTAAATAAAACTAGCCCTGATTCAGTGGACTATCTTTGATAAGACAGTTTAGATGCACTAATCAATGATCTACAAAGAGTATACTGGATTACAAGTGATTATCTAGCACAATACATATCATATATGCATGTATATACTTGAAGGTTACTATATAGCTTCCCTTCAGAATTAAAAAAAATGTATTTATGAATATGTGTGCTTGTGCATGCACACACACATTCATGTCAGATCTCTTCTTCTGCCATATGGGTCCCAGGGACTGAACTCATGTCATTGGGCTAGGAGGCAAGTGCTTTTACCTCAAAATTTTAAACTGAAAATATTTGACTATAAGAACGGACAATAAACTACTTCTATTCTGTGGTGACATAATTTTTGAAGAAACTACAACTATCTAGATTTTATCAACGATATACTTCCTTCATTTTTTCATGCTTAAAAAAAAATTTAAAAAATTAAGCCTGTAATCCTAACACTCAGGAGATGGCCCTCATAGGCTCATATATTTAAATGTTTAGTCACCAGGGAATGTAATTTCTTTCATGGGATTAGAAGGATTATGAGGTGTGGCCTTGTTGGAAAGAGTGTGTTCATCACTGGAGGCAGGTTCCAGGGTTCCAAAAGCCCATGCTATTCCCAATCTCTCTTTGCTTGTGGCAGGATACAGCTCCCAGCTCTTTCTGCAGCACCACTCCTGCCCGCTGCCACGTTCCCTGCCATGATAATGAGTAAGTCTCTAAAACTGTAAGCAACCCCAAATTAAATGCTTTCTTTTGTACAAGTTGCTTTGGGTAGTGTCTTTTCATAGTACTAAAGCAAAGACAAAGATATGCTTGACATGGGGTTTTGCTATGAGCTAGACTTGATTTTGTAGAAATCCTGTTTCAGCCTCTCAAGTGCTAGGATTATAAGTGTGTTACTAAAGCTGGCTAAAATTAGATTTTCTTACCCACCATTTTCCCTCCAATGTTTGGTATTATGATAATTACTGACATTAGGGATTGAACATAAGAACTCATGCATCAAAGTTCTTCACACCACATGCTCTTCCACCAATCAACTGCCTTCAAATTAGGCCAAGTATAGTGACATGCACTTTTAATAAAGCACTTGGGAGACAGAGGCAGGCAGATCTCTGTGGAGCTCAAGACCAGTCTGGTGTACATAGCGAGTTCTACTAAGACAATGGTTCATAGGTCTTAAGAATATAAAATTTAGAAAAGGGTAGATATCAAAAAAACAAAAACAAAAAACCTGATACAATTTCTTCTATAAAATCAGGATGCTAAATGTTTTCCTATTATATAAGCAAATAATGAAAAGGAAATATCAATCAAATCAGTAAAGAATGATTTTTTTCCTTTTTTTTTTCTTCCTTTTTTTTTTTTTTGAGACAAGGTCTGTATAGCTCTGGCTATCCTGGAGCTCATTTTGTAGATTAGGCTGGCCTTGAATTCACAAGAGATTCATCTGCCTCTCCCTCCCAAGTGCTGGGATTAAAGTTGTGTGCCATCACATCCAATTTACAAAACAGACAACAACTATCAAAAGTTAAGAAAAAACACGTTTGATTCTACTTTCAGAAGAGTTTGTTCCTTACCTGATGGAGAACTTCCAGAGTGACAGGGTAAAATAGGTTTTCAATAATTATCCGGAGCACAGGGCTCTGCCCAGGTAGCAATGTGCCTTCATTGGAAGCTGCTCCAGGAAGGGACAGGTTTCCTGACTGGACTGCACTGACAGCCTGCAGTGCAGCTTGGGCTCTCTATAAAACAAGGCAAAAAAGAAAAAAGAAAAAAGAGCACTTTTGATTACAGAAGCAGTGCATGCACCCTGAAGCTCATACGACATAATACAAACTCCTGGACACATATCTGGATACATATCTCAAGTTTGCTATGTTTAAGAGTACAGTTTTCTGCTTGTTTGGTTCCATTTCCTTCCTTTAAGATGGGGCTCAGATGGTTCAATCAATAAAGTACTTGTTGTGTAAGCACGAGGACTTGAGTTTCTTCCTTAAAATCTACATGAAAAGGCTGGGAGCAGCGGTATACGTAAGCTTTTAGTCCCAGCACTATTATGCTGGGGTGAAGTGTTTCTTCATACGGTCTTGGCTGTCATGGAACTCACTGTATAGATCAGTCTAGCCTCAAACCCAAAGAGACCTACTGCCTCTGCTTCCTGAATGCTGGGATTAAAGGTGCTAATTACTACTTGACAAATCAGGTCTAAAGCTTTTAGATAGTATAAGTGTAATGTGATTTCGTGTCAGTGGGGAAGGCAGGCCATCAGTAGAAATAAACTTCCCTGCCATGAACATCATGAACAAGCTGAGGACCACATCCACAGGTCAGAGCTGCCTTGCAAAGGGAAATCTGAATACAGACAAGGAAAAGAAGGTATTTATGGTGTGTTTCTGTTTGCAAGGGTAGGGGGCTTCAATGCTAGCTATCACCTGAAGAGTGTGAGAAGAGTCAGATGAAGATAGGCGGGGCAGCTGGCTGAGAATGCCTAAGACCAAGAAGTTTGAAGGGAACCCATAATGATATGGGTAGCCAATGTCATGAGACAGCCTGAGAAGGGTGAAGACGTATATGGGGTGGGGCAAGCAATGAACTAGTATATTGAGTCTAGAGTGTGATCAGGCTAACCTGTCATTCAGGTAACCTGGCAAAAATGTTAGTGTAAAAGCAAGCTTCTAATACATTTTTACTGAAATGAAACAAGGTATTCTAAAAAGCAGCTGGTTTGGAACTGTGGCAAGAAAAATAGAACATAAGTATGAAATAATTTTCGTTTTGTGGTATTTTTGGTAAATTTTCTAGAATGCAAAAATTACTGAAACAGTAAAGGCTGTATGTCAACTACAGAAGACAACTTGAGGGGACTACCATTGGCCCAATCTGAGAATTTTGAACATCAAAGGTAATACATAAAATAAACAGGAATCCCTAAATCCATAATGCTAACAATTGATAGCTCGTAAAGACCAGCATTTATGATTCATCCAAACGTATGCGATATTATTTCTTCCCCCTTTTAAGTAAAGGTGGGGGCTCTGTATCTGTAGGTACAACATCTAAACATGGATGGAAAAGTTCTGTCTATGCTAGCGGTTCTCATCCTGTGGGCTGTGGTCCTTCTGCGGATTGAATGACCCTTTCACAAGAGACTCTTAAGACTGTCTGCATAACAGATATTTACACTATAATTCATAACAGTAGCAAAATTAGTTACAAAGTAGCAACAAAAATAATTTTATAGTTGGATGTCACCACAACATAAGGAAGTGTATTAAGAGATCACTTAGGAAGGTTGAGAACTACTGATCTATACTGAACATGCAAACACCCCTTCTATCTGTCATTATTCATTAAACAACATTGAGGGTTTTGTTGAAACTAGGTCTCACTATTATGTAGCTAAGTCTGGATTAGAACTTGTCCTTCCTGAGTGCTGAGAATTACAAGGGTATGTCACTACTTCTGGCACTATTACAACTATTTATATAGCCTTCATGTTACATTAAATATTATAAATAATCTAGAGAGTATTTAAAGTACACACAATAATGTATGCTTATGGTATATACAGCTATTACATCATTTTATAAAAGTACCTCTAGCATCCTTGGATTTTAGAATGGTGATCCAAGAAACAACCAAACTACTACCTTCCCCAATGGGTAATAAATAGGAGAGAGGTTTCCTTCCTCCACGGTACAGAAGCCTGATAAACATGACTGTGTCACTTCTACATGTATTTGTCTAAGATATATATTCTGAATTGAATCATGAGGAAATGTTAGACCAACACACATTGAGAGACATTACAGGAAATAAATTGACTTTCATTTTTACTAATGTTAAGGATACCAGATTAAAAGAAAGGCAGAATTTGTCTAAAATGACTAAAAAGACATAACCAAACAACATATACATGAATCTAACTATATCATTTTACTACATGCAGGTATTAATAGAAAAAGTAGCAAAATATGAGTGGGATCTACAGATGACAGAGGAGTAAATGCATCAATATTAATTTCTTATTTTTTTTCTTTTTAGGGGTCAGTAGTAAGGACTGGACTCAAGGTCTCATCCACACCAGGTAAGCGTCCTACCAGAGCCTTCCTGGGGTATTTTTTGATTTCAAGATAAAAGTTACATGAGCTGGTCTTAAAATATACTTGAACTCATGATCCTCCTGAGTAAATGGTGGCCTGTGGCACTAACTTAAGCCAGTGTTGACTACCCAATTCTAGTCTATAGAAGAAACTTCCTCATTTGTAGCATGCATATACAAAATACCAGTAAATAATGAAAAATGGTTGGTAATACACACTCAAAAACCTTGAAAACTGAAACTTTATCTGCACATTTTTTCTACATTTGCAATATCCTCAAATTTTACAATATTTATTTTTAAAAATGAAGTGAAAGGAGAAATATAATCTGCTTGATCTGTACATTAACTGTGTATGTATGTATATACATATATGTGTGTGTGTGTGTGTGTGTGTGTGTGTATTTCAGGGCTCACCTTTTGGTATAGGCTAAAGACAGTGTATTCTTCCCAAGGGAAGACTATTTCTCTAGCTTTCAGCATTCCTTAGTTGCTTGTACTTCTCTATGCAGAGGTCTTGTGTACCCCATCTCCACCACAAATGGAAAGAAGTTTTAGTATGTAGCCATAGCTGGCCTCAAACTCAGCCTCCTAAGTGTTGAAATTACAGCATGTCCCTCCATGCTTAGCCACATTTATTTCTTAAGAGTGGTGAGAATTTGAAAAATGTGCATCGAATCTACAAATTTAATATGGGTTTCATTTTCATATATTCAATTAGGAAATTTTAATCATAGAATTGATATTTTAAATAATTAATTGTGGTCTATAATTTTTGTTTACAGTTTTACAATGTGAAATGCTTGAGTTCTTCGCACTTTGCTATGACCTTTACTAAAATAAGTGCCTTTCTTAAACCTGGAAGCCTTTTACTTTTTGTATGCTTAAATCCCAGTTTTTACATTTGCATTTGTTCTTTTTTCTCTTGTTTGACTGTTTTAAGATAGAATCTCACTATGGAGCGCCAGCGGTCCTAGAACTTACTATGTAGAGCAGGCTGGCCTCAAATTCACAGGGATCCCACTGTCTTTGCCTCCCAGGTGCTGGAAAAGCTATGCACCACTGTGCCAACTATGTATATGCTTTTTTTTTTTTAAATTTTATGCACTTTATATGTTGCTTACAAACTAGAGAAAATCCTTTTTTGTCTTTTGAAACAGGGTTTCCCTGTGCATCAAAGCCCTGAAATTCACTGTGCAGACCAAGCTGGCCTCGAACTCACAAGAGATCCTCTTGCCTCTGCCTTCAAAGCGCAGAGATTAAAGGTATGAGCTAGTGTAACTAGTTAAGAAAACATTTTTTTATATACAAAATATTTTACGAAATTGCATGTGTCCAGGCCATATTAATCGCTGTATCTGTTCCAGTGTTAGTACACAAGATGAAGAGAACCTGATTGTTTTAAAGATACTAGTTGGTCTATAAACATTCTAATAGTGGTTTTATGTCAACACATTTTTTTACATATCATATAATACAAAAAAACCGAATTTTCATTTCCCAAAGCAATATCAGCTTTAAAAAACAGTATGTGAATTAAAAGAACACTTTGTTTGTATCATTACTTCTCAAAACTATTATCTATAGCCAACAATTGTAGAGTGTCTAGGCCCCCAGTCTTGCTTTAAACATGGCACTCTATCTCATTTACTTCACTCTGAGAGTCTCAGTAAGATTTTATTATAAAATGAGGATGATACTGTTTTTACAAGTTTGAAAACCAACTCAGACTTACATTTGAAACTTTAATTGGTTGTGTAGGAGGTAGAGGATACCAATCAAAAGACATACAGGCTTAGAATTAACAGGCAAATATAACATCAGTGTGTGAACTACTCTACACACTCCACAAATTAAGGAGTATAAGGTAATAGTGCTGTCTTACAGCCAACAGATTCCTGTGCTAAAGCCTAGATTTTACCCTGTTCAGTATGACAGCTGGTTGGGTGTCTCAAGTGATGGCAGTGGTGGCTCAAGCCTTTAATCACAGCAGGCAGATCTCTGATCTCTATGAGTTTGAGGCCAACCTATTCAACAGAGTGAGTTTCACAACAGCCAGGATACACAGAAAAAAAACCTGTCTTTTAAGACAAAAAACAAAACAACCCATATGACACCTATCAGACACAGTAATTGAGGAGCTACATGTTATAGTTAAACATAGTCACTACTTCTGCATTGGGTGTTTTTTGGGAAAGAATCAAATTTTCTAAATAACTGGCAAGAAAGTGAAGATATGCTTTTAAAGTGGGGTGTACAGTGCACACCTGTAATACCAGCACTGAAAAGGGTAAGATGGGAACAAAAGCTTAAGAGATGGGGGGTGGGGATGAGAGGTAAAGAAAGGATTGGAGAGAGGGAGGAAAGGAGGAGAGAAAGAAAGGGTAGAAAAGAGCTTTTGAAAATAAAAGTACAAACGGGGAGGGACCTAAAAATATGGTAGATATATTTTATAATTATCAGACTTGAGCATTTTGTTTTGAATTGAGACAGGGTTTTATGGTGTAGCCAAGGACAATTTTGAACTAAATAAAATCCTAGTGCCTCAGCCTCTCAAGTGCTGGGATTTATAAATATGTACTACTACAACACCAAGTTCTTAATAGCAATTTTTAACTAAGCAAAAACATTTAAGAAAAA